TGACTTCAGGTGGGGTATGTATTTAATGAAGAAAGTGAACAGAATTACTTAAGCTTCAGTATGTCAGAAAATAGGTAACTAACAATCAGAAAAAATATGTCCTGAATTAGTCTGACTATATTGAAAATAGTTAAAAGCCTAGCAGAAGTTATGTTGTACATCTTTAGCATTTTTTTTGGTCCATTTTTTTGCATACAAAGTACTCAGGCACATTGTTCATTGTGCCTGTAATGTAGCCCTTTTTTTTTTTTTTTTTTAATATAATACTGCTGGTATCTCTGAAAAATCAAATATGTGGATATAATTCTAAAATGATATTTACTGCTGTTGAAAGGTGATTATTAGCCCTGCAGTCTTCTGTCTGCTAAACAAGTGTCATTTAAGCAGCAGAAGTTTCCGTGCTCTTGGATGTGTAGGACCTCAGTCTTACTCTGGTAGAGTGGAGTGGGGCAGGAGAGGGAGCTTGTGTCCAGTGTCTAATTCTTCACTCGTTTTTCCACCAAACTTGCTTAGTGGGTATCTATTCCTTAGTGACTGACTGACTGTTTTGATGCGGATTCTTCACTAGAAGTTGCAGAGATCTTTTCACATTGTCTGTGTGCTCCTTTGTGGTGGGAAAATTGCCTTCTGCTAGTCATAGTTTTCAGTTGTTGTCTCCACACAGTTCCTCAAGCTCTTGATCCAAACAAGGTCGGTCTGTTTTTTGGGGGCTTTTGGGTTGGTTTGGTTGTGGGTTTTTGTTGTTTGTTTTTGGGGGGGGGTTTTGGATTTTTTTTTTTTTGATCCAAAGCTGGTCTAGAAGCAGTGGAGTGAGCACAGTCTGTCTCCCAGATTTTGTAAGCCACCCAAGTCCTCTTTTAAATATAGTTATTAGTTACAGTTTGTATTTTGTAAATATTTTCTTTGCAGTGATTTATGGCTCTCAACCTCCTCATTATGATTCACAACATTTTGGACCGCCTGCTTCCTGGGGGGAGAGGATGGGGGGTTGTTTTTTGCTTTTCTATAACTTGGACCTGAAGCAATTCCAGTTCTAGAAGCAAGTGGGAGATGGAAACAGAATGTGCTGGGTATTAATAGTTTCCGTGCTGGCCTGTTGCTTTGGTGTTTGTCTGGCTCGTCGGGGAGGTAGCCCTCTGTCTGGCCATGCAGATGGAGATCTACTCGGAGCTCAGGTGGCGATAGAGCCCCTGCCTCCTTCCCGCTGAGCAGAAATCCTCAGCAATTGTTTGTTCACCAGGTGCTTTAGGACAGAAAAGTCTAGTCGTAGAGGCGGGAAGATGGTTGTAGAGCTGCGCCCAAACCTTTCAGGACACCCTTGTGTTGCCAGGTGTCCTTCTCCCCTTTTATGTGTTATGTGCACACGTACGTATCCGTGCTTCTCTTTGCAGCTGCCCCTTCGTGCTTAGGGTTTCCTTACTGCTGGCAGGTGTAAGGGAGGAGCTGGCATGGGGGCACAGGCAGCAAGTAGTTAAAAGCAAAGCACATACTGTGCGTGTCCTGAACTCTGATACATTTCTCAGTGACCTTGAGCAGAGCTCAAAGCTTGCGTGTGCAGGCGTGAATGACATTATCACCTGCATAAGTATATGTTATGCAGACTCTGCTGAGGAAAGGTGGATCCAATACTGTTTTCAAACACAGGATCTTTTATGCAGCGTGCCTCTGTGTGGCCTGATGACATGCATTGAGACCTAGGGAACACGTATTAGCTCCCTTCCGAACTGAATTGCTGTCTGTAGCGAAGGGAGAGTGCTGGTTCTTCGCTGTGGAGTGTTGACGTGAGGCCAGAAGGAAGGAGCTGGAACTCAGCGCAGGGAAGGAGCCAGGGTGGGCAGTGGGTGCTCGGTGAAATGCAGGCTTTTATCATCTGCCTTGGTCAGGGTAGCGCTGTTGCCAGTCTCCATTATATGCTGCCTGAGAACAGGCTCCAGGCCCTTCCTTTCATCTCCTTCCTAATGAATTAAGACAAGGAATAACTATAAAAGGGGAAGGAAGAAAAAAAAGCAGCAAGATCCGAGAAGACTATTTCTTTCACTTATGTTGTAGCTGAATGTGTGGTAGTAGACAAATGTATTGAGCTAATGTTATAGTGGCTGAAAGTTCAAATCTTAGCTTAGGGCTGTGGACGACAGAAATGAGGGAGCTACAGCATCCAGAGAGAGAAGGTATTTAGTGTTAAACTACTGAAAAATCAGGATATGTGAAAGCCTGAAAAGCATTTGAGGACTCTCAGTGTAGTCAAAAAGGTAAGAGTGGACTGAGATCCCCTGTTCCTTCTATTGTTTCTCCTCTTTGAAGCCTTCATCTTACTGTACACATCTCACGTGCTGCAAAAGGACTCCTGTGTGGCAGCAGCACTCTGCCATATGCAGGAACAGCTGTGAGTGTTTTTGAGCCGGCCACTGTACATGATACGTCGCACCCTTGGTGAGAAAGGAGTTCTGCCCTCTGCCTGCGAACAAATGGATGGCAGAGGAGTGCGAACGACCTCCCGGCTTCTTCCCCTGTGGAAGTGGCAGATCCAGTCCTGTGCAACCTATATTTGAATTTAAAGACCAGACGTCATCACCGTTCAGAATCTGTGCCTTTCCTCATTCACACTGCGGAAGATTCACTAGTGTGTTTGAGGATCCACCTGTGTGCGCTTGCCCACTTGCCAATTCCATGCAAAGCCATAGAAAACATGAGATTTGGCAAATTGCACTAATAGGGCTCCAAAATGGATTGTAGAGATCCCCTTTAGCAGGAGCGTTGATGATTTTGGGGAGTTATTTTGGAGCACTCACTTGCAGGTGTTGTGTACCATGGTGATTGATAGGCTACTTCTGTGTTTTGTCCTTCTTGGACAGATTTGCCCTGAGGAGCAAAGGACTCTGATGGAGTCATAAAAATAAAACCACCGAATAGCATGATGTGATTTAATCGCAAGCCAGCTGCATTGATTCTTCCCCTGGGGTGCACTCTCTGTATGTGTGGAGATGCATTTTGTCATTGGGGTGAGGGTAGGAGAAGAGGGGAAACTTGGAGAGGGGGAGGCAGGTTTTCAGATACAATCAAATGGAAGTTTCTGAGGTCGTTATTGAAGATTTGATGTTGGGGGGGATGGATGAGTCTTAGTCAAATAAAAATGCTTCATCCTGCTAGGCTTCTCCTGAGATTTGCATGGCTCTGGGAAGCAGAGATACTTGCAGGGCAGTATTTTCATTCTTCCTATCACAGCTTAATTTATATTAACCAGATTAAAATGTTTTATGCTGCTTGCACAGCCCTACTAAAATAAAATGGAAAGCTGCCACCGCTTTGCTCAGCGTGACAAGACCCCAGTGCTTACTGTTTGCTTGCTCTTGTCAGTGCTTTATAACCAATATGCGAGTTCAAGGTCATGTCTGTAAGAGACGTTTCTGGCCAGAAGACGCTCTCCTAATGTTGCCAGTTTAGTTTATCTGTGGAGAGATGTTTCTATCCAAATATTCATGAAGTGTTGTATATCCAATGTTGTGCAGCGCAGTTTAGCAAGTCCAGTCAGTGTTTGGAGAGTCAGTGTGGGCAACTCCCCTGAGATTTCTTTTGTCTTTGGTACACAAATTGTGTGTTAAACGGGGGGGGGGGAAGTCCCAAAACAGCAAAAAACCCCAACCCTTATTTTTAAGGCCTGCGTGTGTTCTTGAAGGTGCCTAAAAAAGTCTGACTCTAGCAATGACATGGTCCTGGCCTTCTCGCAGAACTTCTTTTCGCTTGATAGGTTAAGGAGGAAGTCAGGTTGGCATCTAAAGAAATGAAATGACACTTAAAAGCGCATCATGCAGGTGGTCAAAGCGTGACTCCTAGGAGACTGAGGCAGGCTGCAGGAGATTGAGTGGGTGGGTGGATGCTCTTTGAATACCTTGGCCTGTTAATGCATGGTCTTGGAAAGGGACAGAGCAATGAAATCAGCTAAACTGTAGTCTACTTTGTTGCATAGCTGAGTTTTTGAGGTCATTTTTCTGACTAAAGTGCAAAAAATACCATTTTCTCATCAAGCCATTTTGCAAAGGGGCCTTGCCGTTACATATAGTGCTATACTCAATGTTACCACTTCCTAGTCTAAGCCCAATGCAAGCAGCTGAGGTTCTCTCTCTCTCTCTTCTCTCCTGCCTGTCACTTCTGTGGGGATGTTAGGTCTTTCCTCTGGCACGCTGGTCTCCCTTATTCCTCTGCCTCCCTTGCTGTACTTTTTCTGTGCACAAGTACTCCTGACCCACCCCTTGACCTGTCTTTGCTGTACCAGTCAGTGCTTGGGAATGCTGGAACAAATTCCCTTGTTTAAACTATGGAACTGGTAGCAGAAAGTAGCACTTGGAGTTTTTATAAATCCTGCAGTGGTAATGACTGTTTCCTGTCCCTGGGCTGACTTTTAAACGTACGAGAAAAGTTAATCAAAGACATCCGTAAGCTGTTCATATATGGATTTTACCATTTAATTATAGATCTTCTTTTGGGGTAATGTTTCTCTGAAGGGAGCTTGACAGAGCAGATGCCGTTTTGCCTGGGGATGCATTTCTGGTATTGGCCCAGTGAAGAGCTGCCACTTCAGCTGTGGGATTTTGATGATTGCACGAACATCCTGCCACATGAGATTAGAGTGGCGGTACTACCTCCCAGCTTCAGGATATGAAAGATCTGCCTCTTCATTAGAGCTTTCATATGGTGGCAGCTGAAGTGAGGAAGAACAGGCGAAAAGAAAGAAGCAATTTAAGAAAACCAAAGGCAAATCAACTAAGCTAAAAGGTGATATGAGGGGAGGGAGGCTGAGATCTCATTACTGTTTACTCATGGAAAGGGAGGGGAAGAACAACAGATCAATTGTTAAGCATTACTGGCTTTATCAAAATAATTGTGAAGTGCTAGATACCGCAATTGCAAATGTAGTACTAATACCTAAAAAGACGCGGGCAACAACGTGAAAGGAATTTGTGTGGTTTCTATTCACGCGCACACTTTTGTCTTTCTGATTTCAGCAGACAGAAGGAGGGGCACAGACAGATGGACAGCAATCACAGACACAGAGCAGTGAGAATACTGAGAGCAAATCCACTCCAAAACGACTTCATGTGTCTAACATTCCCTTCCGCTTTCGAGATCCTGACCTTCGGCAGATGTTTGGGGTAAGTTAGCAGTGCCTTTTAAGGCATGGCAGATCCTCCTTCCCCACAGGTGGGACATGTGGTGCTGTTGTGTTCGTGGGATAAAAAGCCCTCCCTCCTCAATTTAGTCAGCACACTGTGAAACATTTGCAGGACTAGGACAATTGGTAGCATTTACCTCAGCTGGTAATTACACATGAAAACTATAACGGTGTTGTTCATATTAAGATGTTCAGTGTAACCTAACAATTGGTTTTGGGGGGAGAAAAACCCAAAACAAAACTTCACCTAATTTCCCAGTAAAGTCTAGGATTAAACATTGACTTAATATATCCCTTGCAAAGCACTGTTTTTCAGTTGCTTAGAAACTTGTTGAAATATTTATGTCTTTCCTCATGATCCACTTCTGTGATGAAAAATTGCTGCAAGGAATTGGCCAACTAGCAATTGCATGTGGAAAAGCTAGTGCAAGTCAGATGGTATTTTACATTGTGTATGATATACATTCTGATTCTTTTGACCAAATAGTTTGTCTTCCCTAATCTTTGTATGCTATTCATCATCCTCAATTTATAAGCTCTTTGAGGAAGAGTTTGTTCACATGAGTATAGGTGGTGACTCATTCCCTTTGGAGACAGAGATAAATGAGCTAGATGCTTCATGACCTAACCTTCAGGTGAAGTTATCCACATATCATCATCAGGAATATTTGACTTGTTGATACGATGATAGCATCCTTGGTTGATGACATGTTGTAAAGTCTTCAGAAATATTTTTTTATAAAGTTAACAGTTGCTGCCTGTTTAAGATGCAGTGCAGAGGACTCAAGTCAGGAAAGACCAAACCTAAGGTTCCTCTTGCCAGCTTTAGGTTTTGCATATATACCTTGGTCCTAACTGCTGCTCCTCCAAATTCTGCAGTGTTGCTGTTTCAGTTGTTGCAGCTTCCGAGCCATCAGTGTGGGTGTGTATGCATGCACACTCTCACATGTAGAGTAGTGTTCCAGTATTGTAAATTCATGGACTTCAGGCTTAGACTACTATAAATAAGAGGAGAATTGGGCTTATCTGTTCATAGCTTGGACACTACAAAGTGCACAAAATGTGCAGAAATGTTAAAAATTTCACTGATGGTCTTCAGCAAGAGTCCCAAATGCTATATATTGCAAGAGACTTTGCTCCTTGTTTTGGAAGCTTTTTGTGTCCATAAGAAGTTATTTTATGAATGAAACAAATGGAGTGGAGGGGGTCAAAATACAGGAGGGCAAGGCTGGTATTCAGACGGACCTAGCCAGGCTGGAGAAATGGGCTGACAGGAATCTTAAGATACTCAACAAGAGTGAGTTTAAAGCCTTTCATCTGGGAGGGAATAACCTCTGTAGCAGTACAGGCTGGGGGCTGGTTGTCTAGGAAAATGTTCTGCAGTAAAAGATTTGGGGGTCCTGACAGACAATAAATTGAACATAATTAGCAGCATGCCCTTGCAGCAAAGGTGGCCAACTGCACCCTAGGCTGTGTTAGTGAGTAGCCAGCAAGCCCAGGGAAGTGATCTTTCCCTGTCTTTAGCAGTTGTCGGACTGCATCTGGAATACTGCGTTCAGTTTGGGCTCCTCAGTGCAAGAAGTGCACTTCATCTAAGTGAAATACTGGAGCAAGCCCAGTGGGCACCACTAAGACAGTCAGGGGGCTGGAGAACATGGCATGTGAGCAGAGTCTGAAACGTGGGCCTGTTCATCTTTAAGAAGAGAAGGCGGCGGGGGATACTTTTGTTGTCTGCAACTACCTGATCAGAGGATACAGAAAAAATAGAGCCAGATTCTTTTTGGTTGTGTGTAATGATGAGATGAGACATAACGAACACAAGTTGGAACATAGGGAAATTTCAGTTAGATATCAGGAAAATATCCTTGAAGGTATCTGACTTGACTGGACATAGCCTGGCCAACCAGATCTCATTAGGCCTGCTTTGAGCAGGAGTTGCACTAAATGACCTGTGGAGATAAGTCCCAGCCAAAACTGTGGTCCTGTTGCAAGAGTCCTGGGTTTGCTTCTGTGTTGTTCATACATTAGACTGTCACACTCTTGACATCTGTGGGAATGTTTTCAGGGTGAAACTCATCTCCTGGCAATCTGTGATTGCTGAATCTTCTCAGTCGCCTGTTCTGCTTTTGTGTTTTTTAGCTTGCTTTTTGCTGTTGCAGGGCTGTGCGGTAGGCAGTTCCGTCCGGTTTGGATAAACTGGTTGCTGAAATCACAGCCAGTTCTTGGACCACCTGCTACAATCTGTATTTAGCACGTCCTGCTCTGTGCTACTGCTGCTCCCCTCTCCTGGGAGCTGCATCACTTAGATAAATTGTTCCATGCTGTTGCTGCCCCTTCCCTTGGGACCGGCCCTTGGCTTGATGACTGGCCCCTTTTGTGCTTGTTCACCTTGATGTTTTTCGTCCCTGTGCTCCTGGTGTGGGGGACATGGGTGAGGTGGAAATTACAAGAATGCCCCTGTCCTGGTGACTCTAATCTCTGCCTTGCAGATTTGGAGACCCAGGCAGTTTGAATGAACTGCTGTCCTGAGAAGTAACTTGTAGAAAATGCAGTCTGACTGCTTGCATTAAGATTTCCTATCCCTTTTTGGGCCCATACAGTGCCACTGGTACATAGAAATGGTAGGGAAATATGTTCTATGAGCATATTGTGGTGTTCCTCAAGTTATTTGTTGTTTTTCTCTAAACATCATCTCAAGTTCCACCACAGTGATGTGATTTTAACTGGGGTACATGGTATATTCCCTATAAAACCTTCTGCTAGTTCACCTGGCCATGTGTTTGCAGAGAGGTATGCCTGCCAGAAGACCATTCATCTTTTGGGGCACAAAAAAACCATGTGCCAGTTTCCTGTAACAGAGAACTTTACTACTTTGCCAAGGAAATAATCAATGGTTCTTGCACATCTCCCTTTTTCTCTCAGTGCTGCTTCTCTCAGCATGCTTAGAGCCTCAAGCCAGGAGAGCATTTCTCTCTGAATCCTCCTTGCTCCTATTTCTTTTTCAGGATCAGGATGCTTTCCCTTGGGTGACTCACTGAAACCAACCCTTTCTCCTTCAGGGGACTCATGGTTGTCTGAGTCTTCAGCTGTGCCTGGTCTGTAACCCCCATCTTCTCCCTCTCCCTTCTGTGTGTCAGGTCACATCTCCTCAACGCCATATCTGAGAGACTCAAAATCCTTGCCTGGAGTGATTTTCCCAAGCTACTGTACAAAGAGAGGAATTGGGTAGACAGCAAAGCCGTGGAGGAAGAAATAAATGTGATGGTAGGGAGGGAGTAAAGAAGTCCCCTGAGGATGGAGCAGCATGCGAGAGGTCAGCCCAGTCCTGGGGCGCAGAACATTAGCTAATACTTTCGTCCAGACTTGAGTAGAGGTGGACTTCAGACATGTTGTCCCATGTGTGATTAAATGGATATTACATAACTCTCTCTAAAACCTGACCATTTGTGAGAGCTGCAGACATAAGGATTTCCTGCCAAATTCAAGTTATTCAGGTTTCAAACCATCTCTTGCCTGTTATGTGTTTCTAACAGGTCCCTGAGATATCCTCAGGAATGGAACAAACATTTCCTTATGTATATGCTTCTTAGAGCGTAGGGAGGCAAATAAAATAGGCTGCTTAAAACAGGTAATATTTACTTGACATTTCACGATGCCAATAAAAAGACTTCCAGAAAGCTTCTAGAAGGAACAGGTCATTTTTTAATGCACACAGTTCTGCACCCACTGTGGAATAAATCAATAGTTGACCTTGTTCTAGCAGATAAAGAAGAGTTAATAGCTGACCTGAGATCCCACGGTTGCCTAGGTACCAGTGATTGTTATTTGTCTGTATTTACTTTGTGCAAACAGAATATGGCATCAGGCAGTAATGTAAGGAGCTTTAGGAGACTCTGTTTCTTAGAGTTTAAACAATTGGCAGGATAACTGCTTGGGAAGGTACCTTTAAAAGGGAGATGTTAATGGAAGCTATAAAGTACTGAACAAAATCATACTGATGGCCAAGGCGGCATGATTCCGCAGTCACTGAAACTGTTAATAAAAGCATTTCTTCACTTTAGGCAGGGAGGATGAAGAGGAGGAGGAAGTAAATGGCAGTGAATATAATTGCAAACTTAAACAAAGAAGCAGGTGAGAAAAGAAACGTGCTAATCATGGAGATATCAGTGATGTAGGTTCAGAGGAGGCAGCATCAATTTTCTACATGCAAAGATAAAAGATCTAGGTGTAGGTACAATATAAAATTAGGAAATAGTTGTGTGTTTTGGGGAGGAAGAACTACAAGTAACAACAAAACAAAATCCAAAGAGAAAAAAACAACAAAAAAGCCCAACTTGCTGTGTTTATGATTTAAGAGGAGGTATTTGTACCATGTCTAGTTTTGTATATAATTTATAACAAAGGAGGATGAGACAGAGCTTGCTAATATTTAAAACCCAGCAGATATCTAGATAAGGTATGTGCCAACGCAAGAAGCTCTTTTATTGGTAAATGTTAATTTTTAGACAATCCTTGTAAGCTAGGGGAGCTGCAGAAGGCTGGAATGCTGTCCAACAGGATTCACTATTGAAAATATCGAAAGGAATGACCCAAAGAGCTATGAATTATCTATCCATATGTTGATCTGAGATAAAAATAATTTTGGAAATTTCTAAAAAACATTAGAATCTGAAGAAATGGTTTAATATCTATTCAGCATGACTTTGTATGAGGTAATACACATCTTTGCAGACAAATACTGTATTGTCTATTTTGACAAGATTGTACAAAGCAATATTGATATAGTTGAACATGCTCAACAAATTGAATTCATCCAAGTGACCAATGTTGATTTTTAAGAAAAAGAATACTTAAATAAACACAACAGGGGTTAGAGGGGTTAAAAACCTCTTTAATAATAAAAAGTAGTAGTTGTTGGGGAGACATCAGTGATCAAGAGTGTTTCTGGTGTCAGTTTCCCCAGGGATCTGTTTCAGTCAC